CATATTCTCAGAAGTTGAATTATCGTGTCAAAGGGTAGGAACAATTTTATTTTTTTTGTTGTTGGAGACCAGGACTCAAACTCGCTATTTGACACTTGCTTTCACTCATTGGCTAGTGCTCTACCACCTGATCCACTCTCTCAATCCATATAGCTGTTAAATATTGCTTGATTGTTGTCTTGAAAAGCTGGACCAACTTATAGCCCTCAACAATATACACATGTAACTACTTCTAAAGTTCTGGAATCATTTTTTACTAGTTTAATAGGTACACAATGATATACTAAAACTGAAAATAGCTTAAATATTCTGCAGAAAGGAAGTGAGATATGTGTGTGTGCGTGTACACATGTGTGCATGCATATTAGAACTAACTAGAACTTGAACTAAGGATTTCGCACTAACTTTTAGCTTTAGCTTTTGGCTTAAAGCTGTCACTCTACCACATGAGCTACCCTTCATTTCCAACATTTTACTAGCTAATTAAAAATAAGAGTCTCATGGACTTTCTTGTCTGGGCTAGTTTTGAACTGAGATCCTCAGGTCTCAGCCTTCTGAGTAGCTAGGATTACAGATGTGAGGCACCAGCTACTGACAGGATTGAGATATTGAGATATTTATACACATTTTTCAATATGCTTGATAAAACCAGTTTTTAAAGACACTCAAGTACTCTAACCAGGCTCATAGTCCTCTCTCCCATTCTTAGCTACTTTGTGCTCCATAAATTGGCCCTAAGCATAACCTCCACTGGCCTGAAGGTCTTTGCCCAGATGTAGGCTGCACAAGCTTACAATACAAACTGATCTCCAACCTATGATCCTCAGGCCTCTACCTGTGAGCTAGGGGTACTAACTAGCAAATCATCATCACCCCTACCTCATAGCATTAAAAGAGGTATCCATAGCCAGGCATTGGTGGTCCAAGCCTGCAATCCTAGTTACTCAGGAAGCTGAACTCTGAAGGTCTTCATTCAAAGCCAGCTCAAGCAGCAAAGTCTGTGAAACTCTTATTTCCTATTAACTACCAAAAACCCAGAAGTGGGTGAGTGGCTCAAGTGATAGAGAAGCACTTTGAGTAAAAACGCTAAAGGACAGTGCTCAGGCCCTGAGTTCAAGCCCTAATACTGACACAATGAGAGAGTGGAAGAGAGATGGGGGGGAGGGAGGAAGAGAGAGAGAGAGAGATCCAGAAGCCAGCTCTCTGAAACTCTCCAAATTAATTGCCACATGGTTTAAAAAAACGAATAATTGATTGAACAGAATCTGTTCAATACTGTCTTGCTCTGTTGGATCTCAACCCATCCTTATAGAGGAAAAAAACAAACATGAACCCATACTACATGCCATGAGCTATGTCTCTGGCATGGAGGGGACCAATCTAGTGCTTAAATACCCACCCCCCACACCTCCACTTAAGGTTCACATTAATACCTATTGATTCAGCAAAAGTTGAGGACCCATGTATTACCCACTGGACACTTTTCCAAGTGTAAATTAATCCATTTATTAATTTCAACAAAATAATAAGAAAGGAACTGTCCCCACTGTATAGATAAAGAAATAAAGGCTACAGAGTTGAATGATTTGCTCCAAGTCATCAGATACAGAGGGAACCAGAAGTCAAGTCTACTCTAGCTCCACAGTCTACACGTAGCTCCATATGCTGCTCGCTCTCTCTCCCCGCTCTCTTTTTCTTTCTCTCTCTCTCCCTCTGCTCTTCTCCCCTTCTCTCTCCCTTTTCTCCCTCCCTTCCTCCCTCACGTTGGTACTCCGGACTTAGGCACTGTCCTTTAGTTTTTTTTCACTCAAGGCTGGCACTCTACCACTTGAGCCATAGCTGTACCTCTGATTTTTTGGGGGGGTGGTTAATTGGTGATCACCACTTTTGAAGACTGGTCTGGCTTTGAATCTCTAGGATTACAGGTGTGGGGCCACCAGCACCAAGAACTATTTCTAAATGGGTAACAGGGGCTCCAGAGCCAAGATAGACCCTGAATATGAACTATTCCAATCCCTTCAATCTTGAGGCAAAGGATTGAGAGCTCACCAAAGAAGATAATCTACCTTAAAGTGCACAGAGCACATTGGTTGAGCCAAACAGAAACCCAAGACCCTGAGTCCTGTAGCCATGGTCTTTATCATATCACATGGTGGCCTCACCAGTGACTGGCAAGCCTTCAGAGGCTTGTTCTGCAGGTTTCTATGGAATGACCTTGAAATCCCCCAGACTGAGAACCAGGCTGGAGAAGTGAGAAGTCTCAAAGCTGATGGGAAATCAGACTGGACAGGTCAGCCCTAGAAAAATCAAGCTGAGACCAGTGCTTTCTGGAGAAATACCAAACCCATCTTCTACTTTGGCTACCAGAGAAGTTTCTTACAGGTTATTTCTGTCCAGAGGAATCAAAGGCTGAGCAAGAAAGGCTAAATCATATTTCATTTAAAGAACCTAATGCATACAGACAGAGGAGGCAGGTTTTCTAAGGCCCAGTCCAATGACCCAGGAGACTTACTTTCTGCCAGAATCAGCACCAGGCTGAGCCAGTCCATTCTCCCTACCACTAGTTTTATCTATCCTCTGTCCCTTGCCTTCCCATGTTAGCCCTCCCTGCATCAGGACCCCACTGGACTCCTCCTTGGAGATGGTTCTATTGCTTCCTCCCCCTCCTCCACCTCTGCTGATGTGGACCTTCTCTGAGCTTCTGAGGTTATAAATAAATGATGTCTGGATTGATTGGAGGATTAGCTTTCCCTTTCACAACAAGCCTGATCTCTCATTTCTGAAATCTCTCTACCCACTATCATCATTCAAATTTCACTTTACGTTGTGACATTAGTGGAGAGAGTCCTCACCTGGAAATGCATCATCACTAAACCTAGAGTCAGGAAATGAGGTTCAAATCTCAGTCCTGCCACAGGCTCTTGAGCCAGTTACTCGGTTCTCTGAGCCTCCATTTACTCCAGGAAAGAAAATGGCAATTGCTGGTCACCTTTCTGACAGAATCTTGGAAGACGTGAATGAGATCAGTGAAAAATCACATGAATTGTGATATCCGGCGTAGATGGCAGTTCCACAGCAGCTGTCTGGCTCAGGGACCTTCACTTTCTACTTCTACATTGGACAGAGTCACATCTGCTCTGCCCCACTGCCCCCTACTGTGGTGTGGGGAACAAAAATACCACATTTGTGTGAAGACACTTTTTTGGCGTGTATGCTGATACTTGGTTATGAAGTCGTGCTCTCTCATTCTCATTTTGCTTTTGTTGCTCAAGACTGGCACTCTAACACTGGACCCACAACCCTACTTCCACCTTTTTGCTGTTAATTGGAGATTCGAGTCTCATAGACTCTTCTGCCTGGGCTGGCTTCAAACTGTGATCCTCAGATCTCAGCCTCCTGAGTAGCTGGGATTACAGGCTTGAGCCACCAGCGCCCAGCAACCTTGAATGATTTTTACAAGTTGCACAGCTAGTTTGTGGATGCAACAAGTTACAAACCCCATTTATTCCTTGGGCAGTACTCAACTTGATCATATTGTGCAACCCTTAAAAATGAATGAATGAAACAAACAACAATGACGTGTTGTCACTTAATAACATGGTTATTACAGATTAGAATGTTTAAAATATTTGGAACATACAGTAGTCAAAGAGTTAAGTGTTTTAGTATACAAACAATGGCTACATTCAACTTTTTTTATCAACTTTTAAAAGATAATCTAATTTTTTTTTAATATGAGTAAAGACCAAGCATGGTAGCACATGCTTGTAATTTCAGTATTCTGGAGGCCGAGTCAGGAAGGTTGAGAGTTTAAAGCCAGGCTAGGCTACATATTGACCCTCTCTGAAACAAAAAAAGGTAAAGGATGCAAAAATGTAATCCACAGAAGAAGTAGAAGTAACCAATAAATATACGTCCTAATTTTCTGAGACATGCTTGATATAAATAGTTTACCTATAATAGAGTTAGACAAGGAAGGTTTGGAAACTTCATTTATTTCTGGTTTGTTTATATTTATTATTAACAAAGATTAAAAAATTTCTATATCTAAAGTATAGAAATAAACACCCAGGTACCAGGGGCTCACCCCTGTAATGCTAGCTACTCAGGAAGATAAGAGTGCCAAGAATCATGGTTCAAGGCCAGCCAAAGCAGAAAAGCTCCTGAGACCCTATCTTAAAATTAACAGGGGCTGGGAATGTGGCTTAGTGGTAGAGTGCTTGCCTAGCATGTATGAAGCCCTGGGTTCAATTCCTTAGTACCACATAAACAGAAAAAGGCAGAAGTGGTGCTGTAGCTCAAGTGGTAGAGTTCTAGCCTTGAACAAAAGAAGCTCAAGAATAATACCCAAGCACTGAGTTCAAGCCCCAGGTCTGCAGGACAAAAGTGAACTAATTTAGCAGTGATACTCACTGGACACTATACTGGAAGTGAACTATGTAACTTGAGGGGAGAGGATTAGGGGGGAAAACTGGGAGAAAATGAGGGAAGGGGTGACACTGTTCAAAAAGAAATGTACTCAGGACCTGACTTATGCAACTGTAACCGCTTTGTACATCACCTTTACAATAAATTTTTTTTAATGTTTTAAAGTACATTTCCACCCAGAGAAAGCTAATGGGTAGCTTGGGATTCAAGAACAAAGATTATCATCTTGGCTAAACTTTATTCTGAGTATATTTCACACCGGATAGGATCTACTTTCATATTTGATGCATATGCTATTGTATTTAAGAGTTAATAAAAAGTATTATGGAATATTTACAGTTTAAAAATTAACAAGCAAAATAAAAACAAGACTGAGGGCATGGAACAAATGGTAGGACATCAGCCTAGCAACCATAAGACCCTGAGTTCAAATCCCAGTGCTATATAAACATAGATACATAGGTACATATAGCACAGGATTCCAAAGGTAAATATTTAATGTTTGGAATTATCTTTAGCAACATTTGCTTTTGTTTATGTACACCATTACCATGCTTCAAGAGTAAATATGGATCGCTTCTTAGCCTTTTGGCTAAGATCAAGTGTTCTTTGTTATCTGTTCTTATCAGTTTAAAATCTGATTTTCTCTCCCTAAGGGCAGTAAATTAAATGGATTTTTAAAATATAGAGCTGGAATAGGAGCTTTCTCTGTATCCATGTACTGACCTGGTATTTCAGGACCTTGAGAAACAGGACATCAGAACAAAATAATAAATAAGGAATAGATGCATACCACTAATCAAAATTAATGTTAGGGCTGGGCGTTTGTGGTTCATACCTGTAATCCTAGCTATTCAGGAGGCTGAGATTTAAGAATAGCAGTCAGAAGTCAGACTGAGCAGAAAAGTCCATGAGATAGTTATTTTCAGTAAACCACCAAAAAGCCAGAAATAGAGCAGTAGCTCAAGTGGTAGAGCTCCAGCTTTTGAGCAAAACAGCTAGCAGACAGTGTCCAGGTTCTGAGTTTGAGCATTAGTACTAACCAAAAAAAAAAAAAAAAGCTAAAATTCAAATCAATGTTAAAATATTACATAAAAATACAGCAAAATGCTGAGTACTGGTGGCTCAGGCTATATCTTTGCTATTTAGGAAGGTGAAATCTGAGGATGACGGTTTGAAGCCAACCTGGACAGGAAAGTTCATGAGACTCTTATCTCCAGTGAAGCACCCAAAAAAAGCCGACAGAGAAGCTGTGGCTTAAATGATAAAGCACTAACTTTGAGCTAAAGGGACAATGCCCAGGCCCTGAGTTCAAACCCCAGAACTGGGGGGTACACACACGTGCACACACACACACACACACACACACACACACACACACACACACAGACACACACACACACACGAGAATGTTGGTAAATGAAAACTGTAAGGTCCGCTCCTGGATGGCGAGCAGACTCTACCCTCCTCGCAGCAAAGTCTCCACCCAGTACCTGCGTTACCTAGGCAACTGGGACACCTGGAAGAGGTCACATCTGCATCTGCTGAGGTCACATCTGAATTTGATGTGGCCACACCTTTCTCCGCCCATACCCTACATAAGGCCTAGCCCAGGCCCAGACTTTCTTTTTCTCACTCTGTTCTTTTCTAGCTCTTGCTCTTCTTTTCTAGCTCTCTCTGCTCTCTCTCTGCTCTAGCTCTTTCCTCTCTCTTTCCTCTCTTTCCCAGCTCTCTCTCCTTCCCAGGCCTTTCCCAGCCACGTGGAGTGCCAACCTTGCCTGGTCCCAGCAGGTCCACTGAATAAACCTACCCCTTACCTGAATACCACGTGCGTGCTGGTGCTGTTCTTTCTCGGTTACCTCTTTTTAAAAACCTAACATAAATGGTGCCGTGACTCGGATAAAGGCTGAAAGTCAGGATAGCTGGGATTTCTCTGTTTTTTTCCTCTTTTTTCTCTTTTTGTTCTTCCCTTTTTGCTCTGAGGAATACCCACAGTTCTGACGGCCTTTTGCGAACCAGTCTGTCTGCGGCGGAATCAGTGCATCTATACCATTGCTGCCTTCACATCCACATCCACACCACTTCTCTACTCTGGTGAGTGAAACTACTCTACGGCTCTCTGTCACTCAGTCTCTGTCCAGACGTGGCGCCACGCCAGAGAGCTCCTACGGCCTTTAGCTGAAAGGCCGGTCACCTCTGAAGCCGAGGACGCTTGGCTTTGGGGGCTTGGCCATTTCTCTCTAGAGGGCTCTGGGGGAAGTCGGGACGCCGCTTCTGCCTGGTCAGCTCTCCTTCACTCACCAGACTGACTCTACTCATTTAATGGGGTGCTACGAATCACGCCTGAGCCGTGAAACCCCTTTGAAATGTCTCCTGCGCTCCCTGGAAAGCCAGAGAGCCTCATTTTTATGCCATTCTCAGAAGTACAGTTTTTGCTACTGCAATGGTAAATGATCAGAAGTCTGTTTACTTTCGGGCTCTCTTTGCTCTCTCTCTGCCATTCATGTCCAACTTTCCCTATCTCTCCCTTTCTCTTTTCTACATTTTGGCTTGTGTCCTGAAGAGTGCGACGCAGGCTGGGTCCCAGGGACCGCCCTCTAGGTTCCCTCTCAAAGGCTAGCCAATGTAGGCTTAATCTATTCAGGCTTACTTTGCATTCTTTCAGAAATTCGCCATCTTGAATTCGCCATCTTGAATTCGCCATCTTGGCCACGTGGTGGGTTAAGGGTTTGGCCCCATCTGACCCTTAACCTTCCACTAAGTTTACTACTCCATCTATTCTAAGGTGCCTTGCTAACAAGTTGCTCTTTTCACAGGCCCTGGTAATGGAGGCCCAACCAGCTGAAATGCTTTGTTAGCAAAGATGTCTAAACGTTGTCGAAATTTTAGGTTTTAAGTTTTGCCTTTTTTGTTTTGTGTTGTGTATTCTACTACTGACTATGTGGTTCTAAAATACTGGGTATATCTGTGCTAAAATTCTCATCACATCTAATGAGTTTCATCATTTCAGAATATTTGTTGGCAATTCTTGATAAGAACCAGGTAAGCTCTACTTATTCTACTTGATCTCCTTGTTGCCTTAATTGGAAATAATAAAGGGCTTTTGTGGCAAAGATTTCAGTTCAAAGCCAGCTCGGGCTAAAAAATCTCTAAGACTCCGTCTCCCAGCTAAACTCTGCAAGTGATACTATAACTCAAAGTGGTTCAGTGCTAGCCTTGAGCAGAAGTGCTCAGGGACAGTGCCCAGGCCTTGAGTTCAAACCTCCTTAAGTACTAGTGGTACTATAACTCAAAGTGGTTCAGTGCTAGCCTTGAGCAGAAGTGCTCAGGGACAGTGCCCAGGCCTTGAGTTCAAACCTCCTTCAACACTGGAAGTGCTATTGTAACTCAATGTGGTATAGTGCTAGCCTTGAGCAGAAGTGCTCAGGGACAGTGCCCAGGCCTTGAGTTCAAACCTCCTTGAATATTAGTGGTACTATAACTCAAAGTGGTTCAGTGCTAGCCTTGAGCAGAAGTGCTCAGGGACAGTACCCAGGCCTTGAGTTCAAATCTTGAATACCAACTGGGACAAGCCATCCCAGCAACGAGCACCTAGACTCAGCCAGTCTGGGGAACAAGGGAACATGGAGAGGAGTAAGAGGAGATAATGTCACATCAGCTACTTTGTGCCTGCCCTTTCAAAATTAACCAGAGCCGGGAGGTCAGTGGAAGTAAGAAGCCTACCCAGCCAATGTCTATACCTGTCTACCTATTAATGGAACAGGAATTTATATTCTTGCCTTTCTCCCCTGACTTCTCTACCTAGTCGCCAGATGTCAGAAGTATCTAGGGACATTTCTACCAACATTTTCAGCCCCAAGTCCTTCCTCTTGTCATTTATTTGCTGCTTAGTATTTTTTTTTCCAGCCCCTCAATGCTCATGAGACTTCTCCAGACTTCACCTAAGGACTCACGCCACCAAGGGACAGCTACTGCTCACTGCCTTCTCTGGGAGGAGACCAAATTCCAGCCTTTTACCCTATAGTCAACGCCCCTTGTCAGCAGGAAGTAGCCAGAGAGAATCCGAGCCCTATTCCATGATTATTAAAAGGCTGGAATGTAAGGTCCGCTCCTGGATGGTGAGCAGACTCCACCCTCCTCGCAGCAAAGTCTCCACCCAGTACCTGCGTTACCTAGGCAACTGGGACACCTGGAAGAGGTCACATCTGCATCTGCTGAGGTCACATCTGAATTTGATGTGGCCACACCTTTCTCCGCCCATACCCTAGATAAGGCCTAGCCCAGGCCCAGACTTTCTTTTTCTCACTCTGTTCTTTTCTAGCTCTTGCTCTTGCTCTTCTTTTCTAGCTCTCTCTGCTCTCTCTCTGCTCTAGCTCTTTCCTCTCTCTTTCCCAGCCACGTGGAGTGCCAACCTTGCCTGGTCCCAGCAGGTCTACTGAATAAACCTACCCCTTACCTGAATACCACGTGCGTGCTGGTGCTGTTCTTACTCGGCTACCTCTTTTTAAAAACCTAACAAAAACTAATTACTATTTAAAGCAGTAATAAAGTTTCATAAAATAGTTTTAAACAGATGATAAAAGACAATATTGTCAAATATAACACAAAAGGATTAGACTTCAGACAGTAACTTAAAATCAATTTTATTTTTATTTATTTTGGGGGGGGAGGGTCCGGTCGTGGGGCCTGAACTCTGGGCCTGGACGCTGTCCCTCAGCTCTTCAGCTCAAGGCTAGCGCTCTACCACTTGAGCCACAGCGCCACTTCTGGCTTTTTTCTTTTTGCTTATGTGGTGCTGAGGAATCGAACCCAGGGCCTCAGGCATGCAAGGCAAACACTCTACCACTGAGCCACCTTCCCAGCCCCTTAAGATCAAGTTTAAATGAAAAAAATAGTTGTAATAAAAGCAATTCAGTAAAAAAAGAAACCTAATGAGTAATAGATCATTTCTCATATGCTCCACTTCATTTATAGTCAAAATACCCTACAATATCCATCAAAAGTGATTAAAAACTATAATCTGTTTGTTTTATGAAACACTTTAGAGGTATTATTTTTAAGCTAAAGCCAAACTACTTGTATAAACATGGAAAGATCTTCAAAAATACTTCACAGAAAAATTTGCTGCGGGACAATGCAAATAGTCTGATCCTGCCTATGATTAAAAGCTTTATTTCTGTCATTGTTTGTATGAGGATAAAATTCTAAAAGTGTATGCATTACCCTGTTAACCGTGGTGTTCTTCTGGAAAGAAATAAGGATGAGCAAGATGTTGGTGGCTCACACCTGTAACCCTAGTTACTCAGAGAGCTGAGACCTGAGGATGGAAGGTTCCAAGCCTGCCTGAGAAGAAAAATCTGTAAGCTGATTATCTCCAATTAACTACCACAAATGCTGGAAGTGGAACTATGGCTCAAGCACTAGAGCAACAGTTCTGAGTGAAAAAAACAAATGAGAGTGAAGCCCCTGACTTCAAGCCTTAGTACAGGTGTGCATGTGCATGCGCGCGCGCGCACACACACACACACACACACAAAACTCTGAGAAGCACCTTCAAGGAGACCAACTTTCTCTTTTAGCCTTGACATTTAGAACTGCAAACTTAGTGCTCTGATGCTCCTTCTCCTCCTCCTCCTCCTCTTCTTCTTCTTTCTTTAAATAGTTGCCATTCAACAAAGCAGTTTATGAATACAATGCATCTTGATCAGTGTCACCCCTTTCAACATTCTCGCCGATCCTTCCCAACCCACCCCTTCTCTCACT